TATACAAATGCTGTGATTCACGAGATCCTGCACTTTGTGAGCGTTGTTTTAATCACAATTCCTAGACAAGCAGTGAAGGACACAACTGTTTTGGGGTATCGAGTTCCAAAGGTACAGATATCCTTGCTATTCCACTGGGATCTTTGCCCACTAGTGAAGCTCCTCACAGTCACATTTGCCATGAACCCCTTTTCCCTCTGGTTCAGGACAGGTGGGTGATGGTGATGGCACTGGCAGGCAGCTCTTTGTCCCTCCCATGCCCTCTGGCCTGTGCCTTTGTCTCCTAGTGACAGTGCTTGCCAGGAGCACATGCCAATTGAACTAGGGTTCTGTGAGACTGCTACAGTCTTACTCTCCAAGAGCTTGGAATTTTGAAACACATTATAGGCATTTGAGCTCTTATACTTTCGAAAGACCTCAGAGAAGACTTACCAGAAGTGTACAGCGGTGTCTGTAGGGAAGGTACAGCAGATTGTTCATGCTGGAATATCATCTGTTATGTGGACAAATGGGAGATGGAATTTTTGCTTCATTGGTGATATCTGAGACCAAGCATCTACTCAACTTCATTCACTTAGGACTTATTTTTCTTATTATTACTTCTCTGACGTTATATTTGAAAGATAATTAAGATGTTTCCCCATAGCTTCTGAACTGCCATCTAACCTCAGACAAAAAGCTTCTGCCAGCTTCTTCAACTTGTCTAGCCTTTCCAAGCTTAATCTCACTGCCAAACCTCCCCAAAAGCACACATGGAGGCATCTTCCTGCACACTACTGCTCTGGGTGTTTGTCACGCACGCCTTTCCCACTTCTACCTTGAGAAAGATAATTTGAAATATGCTGTGTCATTTCCAAGATGTTTTGTTCTTCACGTGTCAAAATCTGTCAAAGCTTCTCAGAAGTGGGAAAATAATTTTAATAGATTTAGGATAAAGTGCTGAAGAACTGCAGACCACTCATTCTGTTGCATTTCCTAACAGAACGGAATAAAAGGAGACATAGTAGGGAAATTCCTGAACCTGAAATACTGAAGTTTCTTTTGAAGAAAGAAACACTCAGAACACTTTGAAATTAAAATTTGTTTTCCTAATAAAATAAACTTTTATTTCTGCTACCACCCCATGAAGCCAGCAGGGTGCTGAATTACAGCTGGAATCTATTTGCGTCCTTTTTTTCTTGATGTGCAAGAGACAGAACTGAGCCAACAGCATTTTCCTTTCAGGGCACTATAATTATGGCAAACATAGACTCAACTCTTTTTGACCCTGAATACTGGGAGACCCCTCACCAGTTCAACCCTGGTCATTTCTTGGACAAGGATGGAAATTTTGTGACCCGGGAGGCCGCCTTAGCCTTCTCAGCAGGTAGGTACATGGACAAATTTACCCATTTGTGTGGGTTGGATTGAATGTGATGTTGTATTGCTTTCACTGTGGAGAAGGCCAAAGGGAATGTAATCCCAAATTATAGGAGCACACAGTTTTCCCAGGCCAAAAAAATGTTTGATTACCAAAATTAGTTGTTTGGTAAATATATAAAGCCTTGATGTTAGATTTTTGTGAGAATGCAGAAGAAGATAAAAGGAGTTGCCAGTAATTTGGGGATTCGAGTCCTTACTCTGTTGTTCTCTGTCACCTTCTCCATATGCTATGATAGTGGTTGTTCTGTGGCAGGCTGCTCTGCTGGAGCTGATTTATTTTGTATAAATAATTCAATATATTCATCGCTGGAGAAATTTAAAGCTGGATCAAATACA